CCCCGCCCACACCGGGCCCACCCCGGGCCCACCCCGGGCCCACCCCGGTGCTGCGCTCACCTTGCCCGGGAAGGGCCCCGGGAGGAGCAGCTTCAGAGCCTGCCTCTTCAGCTCCACCAGGCGGGCGTTGCAGTTCTCACACCAGACGCCGCGGTCCGAGCCGGGGGAGGAGCCGCCGCCGCTGCCGGAGCCGGGGGAGCCCGTGCCGAAGCCTGGCGAGCCGCCCAGGGACCCCGGCGAGCTGGTGCCGATGCCTGGGGAGGCGGGGCCTGGGGAGCCCGTGAAGGAGCTCGGAGACGAGGTGCCTGAGCCAGGGGACGGGGTCCCGGACGAGCCGAGCGCCGAGCCCGCGCCCTCGGGGGTGGGCCGGCTGCCGGCGCGCGACTCGTCGTACGCTTTCCTGTACCAGCTCTCAGGGGAGAAGGGCGCCGCGGGCTTGGTGGGCGAGCCGACTTCATTCACCTGTCAGGGGAGACATGCCAGTTGCAGGGGCCGCAGGGGCGGCGGGTTTCCCCGCCCGGGGGCCGGGCTGGGGACGCCTGCATGAGGGTCTGCCCGCCACCGAGAGCCCGGCCGAGCGCGAAGGGGCGCCCATTCCGGGCCCCTTCAAGTTCCGCGGCCAAATCGGCCTCCATCTGTCTTGTTAATTGTCCTTAAGTGAATCCTCCCGCCCGGGCGCACCCTGCGCCGGTTCCCGGGCTCCGGCCGACCCCTCGCCGGGTCAGGAAGAGAAGGGCTCGCTCAGGGATTTTAAACGGTTTCTGGAGGGGGAATCCATAGGTTCAGCGCCCCGAGCTTTTGAACCCTGCACCCACCCTAGCAAGGGCCAGGTACAATATCATGGGAGATCCCATCCGTGGGGACTGTGTCTTGTGAATTTATATTCATTCAGGGTACAGCCCTCTGGATCATAAAGGTAAATTAAAGGATCTCTTGGCTGCGGGGAAACGATCCGAGGAACGGCAGGGAATTCAGAGGAAGCTCTCAAATTCAGTGTAACTCTGCTGAAAAGTACAGGAATGCTGCAAAAGTTATGGGTGTAGGGCAGGGAAGGGAAGAAGGGACTGAGAAAATTGCGAGAGCAGGGCGAGTGGGCCGGCGTGTTCACAGCAGACCCGTCTCCGCGCACGCACACACCGGCGTCGGCACCCGCAGCGGCGCCTCCGCAGTGGGAGTGGGGCTGCAGGCGCTCAGCCGGGCTGCTGGCTGCGCGGCGCTGACCTGTGGACTGCCCGCTACCCTCCCGAAGGCCGGCGGGGTACGACATCCCGCCGAGACGGCCTACGAAAGCGTCTCTGCATTGTCCCCGTCCCAACTTACCCCGTATTTCTTGCCCCTGGTGGAGATTGCAAGCCTCTCTTTATTCGCAGCTACAGAATTCATGGTGATTTGTCCAGAGGAGAGTGCCTAAATGTTCCACCAAAGCTACATCCAAAGGGTCTTCAAAGCCCGAAAGGTTCCCCAGGGGTAGGGGGATGTCTCTGTGCCCTCAAATCAAGGTTTCTAAATTTGGAGGGAAGAAAACAAATTGACCCCAGAATAGCACCAATTTTCAGAGAAGGCTGGGGTCGTTTATTCTCCTCTTCAAATAATGGTTTTCCTCATCTTCTGCTTCCTCCAGTCATACGTTCTCTCGCCACGGTCACATCCAGATAATTAGCATTTTCCTCAGCCAAGTAAGTCCCTTTTCCTTCACGATTGAAAATACGGATAAAATCACCACGCACGGCAGCTGCAGGAAAGGTGGGCGAGCCCTCGCCTCGCCTCGCCCGGCGCGCGGACTCCGTCACCACAGCCGGGTGTGGGAACTTGTCTCTTTAACCGAGGTTTGTAACTGAGTTAAAAGAAATTCTTCAAAAATATAAAGATCCAGACTCGGGGAGGAGCCTCGGCGTCTCGCGGAGCCAATATCCGTCTGCCCGTTTTGCCTGACAGTTCCGCGAGGGCAGGGAGAGGGGGCGGCTCCGTCTCGCCCGGGAGCAGTCCGCGGTCAGGGCGCGCGTGTGAGCCGGGGCGCAGCGCGGAGCCTCGAGAAACGCGGCCCCGCGGCCCGGGAGCCTGCGAGTGCCTCCGCGGTGCCCGCCGCCTGGCTGCAGCCGCCGCGCCGGCCCGGCTCCATTTTATGTTGCGGCGCTCCTGCCTGACATTGCGAGCCGAGGGGGGCGGTGGAGGGAGGTCGTAAATCTCGTGCCTCGCAGGGAAGTTACTGGTGAGTGGCCCGTGTCCAGGGCGCTAATGAAACACCACTGCGCGAGCCTGGAGTTGAGGTGCAGCGGGAGGAGCGTGGCTGGACAGAAAAGCTGCGCCCGAGCCTCCCCCGCCCCCAAGTTCTTTCTCTTCCTGGCAAGGCTTTCAATTCTGCTTTTGAAACGCCGTGTAAAAGGGATTGAGTCACAAACAAGTCCACAAACATGCCGGGTCCTCCCTCCGCCCTTTGTTCTCGGAGACCTGCCCTGCAAACCTTTTCCAGAATTGTCCTACCAACCGCGGGCCGGCCTGTGGGCCACCCTCCCCGACACCAGCCGGAGGACTGGGGGCCTTCGCCCCACGCCCGCGAGAGGCCCGTCGGCGGTTTGCTAAGCCGCTGAGGGCTGGGACAGGTGAGCTCGGGGACCCAGCAGAATACGGATACTCCGTCAGTCAGTGGAAACTGAGGGATTCGCAGCGCTGCACGCGGACGGCCCGGGCCTGGAAAGGGGGTGTGGTGCGAGCTGGCCTTGGCTTGGCCTTGCCGGGGGCGCGTCGCCTAGCCCCTGCCTGCGCTCTTTTCCTCCCGCGCCTGGGGCCCCCAGAGTCTCGGGAGGGCCCGGTCATCGTCCCCCTTCGACACCCCACCACCCCATCCCTGCGCAGCGCCCAGGAGCGCAGGAAGCCGGCAAATGCCAGGCTCCACACGTGGCTGCTCCGGGGTATCATTTTTCATTTCCCGGGAGGACATTTCTTCTCATGAGCCGGCAGGTCGGTTTTGTTGTGACCTTTAATTAACACCCCGCGAGACGCCTCTTGAAGGACCGGCCCAGCGCGGGGATCACGTGAGGTGTAATGGCATCTCTGCGCCCCGAGAGAGCCGGGGCTGGGGGGAGGCGAGGGCGCAAAGGACACTTGGGGCGTTCCATCCTCTGGCTTCTTTCTGAGACAAGAATGAGGCAGGAAGATAATATTCCGGGGTCCCGGGACAACGCCCCGCACCCTACCTCCCTGAGGGAAATTCCTTCCGTGCCTCCCCCGCTGTCATCTTCCTCCCCCGCAGCCCTTGCGTGGGAATATTTCATAGCAACCAAAGCGAGGTAAGAAGGTAAAAATGAAGATGTCGAGAACAGTGTGGAAGTTTCCATTACGTTCCCACTTCCAATTTAAAAGCGATCAAATCAAGAGAGGACCTTAGGGGGGCAGGTACGCCTCCAGGCTGCACACGCCCACTCCCAACCTCCTATCTGTATTCCTCGGAGGTGCGGCGGAAAAGATCATTGCCATTAACCACGCGCTGCTTATCAGCCGAAAAGCAGGGCATGGCCAGGTGAAACGGACGAACCCGTGAAGCCTCGGGTGGGGAAGCTCGGGTATCGAGGGGGAGCTATTGGGGAGCTGCGAGATCCACCTTGGAGACTTGAGACCAGAGGTGGTCTGATTTGCATCCCAAAGTAGCTCGAGCCCAAAAGCATGTTTGGTGGGCTCCGAGCGCCCTCTGTTGGTCAAAGTTTATAACCGGAGGCCCCTCCAGAATTTGATTTGAGGGTTTTTTTACTTGATGTAAAATTTACATACAGTGAAGTGCACAGATCTTAAGTGTACGGTCTATGAATTTTAATAAATGTATACTACAGTGTAAGTCACCACCTCAATCAAGATATAAATTTCCATCAATCCAGAAAGTTCTCTTTTGCCTCTTCCCAGGCACCCACCCCTCGTAAGCAACCACTGTTCTGATTTCTATTACCCTACGCTGATCTTGAGCATTTTTTACTACTAGAACTCATGAAGCATCTACTCTTTTGTTTGGCTCTTTTCCTTTAACATAAGGTTTTTGAGATTCACGTTGTTGCTAGTCTATTTGTTTTCTAGTTGTATTGTTTGTCTTTCCTGTCACCCCTTTCCTGCCTTTTTTATTAATTAAATATTTTTTAGTATTTCACTTTAATTCCTCTTTTTTAGCTCTAAGGATTACAATATGCATCTTTAACTTATCATAGCCTACTTAGAGTTAACATTGTACCACTTCCCCTAAAATGTAAGAAATTTTTACAACAGTGTAATTCCATTTTCCCTCCCTCCTTTGTACTGTTTGTTATCTGTTGTATATCTGCGTATATCTAAAACCCACAATAAAATCCTATAATTTTTACTTTAAAGAATGTGTTGCCTTTTAGTGAAATTAGAAAATTAAAAAAAGATTACTTTTTTTATATTTACCCACTTTTATCATTTCTGGGGCTTTTCATTTTTTTCCTCTAGAGCCTAAATTTCCAACTTGGTCGTTTCCCTTCAGCCGGAAGAACTTCCTTTAGTATTCTTATAGTGAGGGTCTCCTGGTGTCGGACAAAGCAGTCAAGCGGTCTTTGCTTTATAAAATAGCCAGGCAACACTTAAATATATGTAAATGATAGGGACTATACAGGCCCCCATCCTAGCAACAGGCCTCACAAAGGGAGGGGGCATGATGGAATCATTCATACATATTCATTGTTCATGCATATGTATTGAGGCTGCAGTCATGCATACATTGAGGTTCCCAGTGACTTATAAGGGGCCCTGGATCTTGGAGCTTTCTCTCTTCGGGATTTCCTGGATTGGTGAGAAGATCCAAGAGAGGGTGTGGCACATCCCTGAGGACAATGGAGCCTTGTGCTGCCTGGACCTCTCCCAGACTTTGCCTGATGTATCTCTTCATTTGTCTCCTTTCTGGTTATGATAAATGGGTAACTGTAATTATATGTAATAGTCTCCATGAATTTTGTGAATCGTTACAGAGAATTAATGAACCCACGGGGGGCAACAAGACTCTGACTTAGTTTGGAGTGGCTAATTCAGAGGAGGGCAGTTGTAAGGACAAAGTCCTAGCTTGTGAAGACCCAGCTTTGGATGGTTAGGTGACAGGCTACATGGGCAGCTGATGAAGAAGGATAAAGTCCTTCTAGCTGTGACCTAGTCTCTTCTAGCTTGTGACTTAGTTATTTCTCTGCTTCTTTTCCTTTAAATCTTCTAACATAGTTATTGTCATGGATTGAATTGTATCCCCTAAAAATATCTGTCAACTTAGCAAGGTCATGATTCTCAGTATTGTGTGAGTGTTCACCATTTTGTCATCTGATGTGATTTTCCTATGTTTTGTAAATCCTATCTCTATGATGTTAATGAGATGGGATTAGCGGCAGTTACATAGACTCAATCGACAAGATTAATCTACAATTTAAACCAATCTCTTTTGAGATATAGAAGAGAGAAGCGAGCAGAGACCCAGGAAACTTCATACCACCAAGAAACAAGAGCCAGGAGAATAGCATGTCCTTTGGACCCGGGGTCCCTGTGCTGAGAAACTCCTCAACTGGGGAAGATTGATGACAAGGACCTTCCTCTGGAGCCAACAGAGAGAGAGAGCCTTCCCCTGGAGCTGGCACCCTGAATTCAGACTTCTAGCCTGCTGGACTGTGAGAGAGTAAATTTCTCTTTGTTAAAGCCATCCACTTGTGATATTTCTGTTATAGCAGCATGTCATGGATCGAATTATGTCCCCCCAAATATGTGTGTATCAGTTTGGCTGGGCCATGATTCCTGGTATTGTGTGATTTTCCTATATGTTGTAAATCCTACGTCTATGATGTTAATGAGGGAGGATGGGCGGCAGTTGTGTTAGTGAAGCAGGACTCAATCTAAAAGATTAGATTGTGTCCTGAGGCAATCTCTTGAGATATAAAAGAGAGAAGTGAGCAGAGAGACAGGGGTACCTCATACCACCAAGAAAGCAGTGCCAGGAGCACAGCGTGTCCTTTGGACCTGGGGTCCCTGCGCAAAGAAGCTCCTAGTCCAGCAGAACATTGATGAGAAGGTTGACAGAGAAAGCCTTCCCCTGGAGCGGATGCCCTGAATTTGGACTTTTAGCCTACTTTACTGTGAAGAAATAAATTTCTCTTTGTTAAAGGCATCCACTTGTAGTATTTCTGTTATAGCAGCACTAGATGACTAAGACACAGCACTAGATAACTAAGACAGTTATTAAAAACAAAAACATTGCCATGTAGTTGACTAGTGGGGGGAGGGCAGCTGGTCTGAAGTGCAGGGAGTTGTGCAGACTCCTGAGCCTATGGCTTGGTCACTGATGACCTGGTTCCAGGTGGCCGTGCATGAAGTGTGACCTAGCTCTGGGTAGTTAGTGTCAGAGAGGAAATGCCGTGGAAGTAAGTTGCAACAAAGAATGGAAATGGGGGAAAGTGAAGCCTAGATCTATTTCCAAGATGGGAATTGGATTTATGTTGATTCTTACCACACAGTTAGTGATAAATGCAGTTTGCTCACCTTGCCCCTTAAGTAGCATCACACTTGTCAACAAATTCTCTCGGCTTATATGTATCTGAGAATTCTTTGTTTCACTTTCATGTTTGAAGAATAGTTTAACTGGATGTAGAATTCTTGACTGACAGTTATTTTCTTTCAGCCCTTTAAAGATGTTATTCATTGTCTTCCTTCTTCCCTTGTTTCTGTGAGAGGTCAACAATTTGACTACGATATGCCTGAGTACGGGTTTCTTCATTTTTATCCTACTTAGGGGTGCTGAATTTCTAGTATCTGTAAGTTGATCTGTAAGTTCTTCAGATCAACTTGGGGAATTTTTAGTCATTATT